AATCACAAGTCCTCTGAAATAATCTAACAAAGAGATTTTGATGACAGAACTGGGTGGTGGGGCAGCGTAGAGGGAACCCACAGGCATGTGGAGGCTTCCAAAGGCTAACGATGGCGGGAGGTGTCCTCCCTGCATGCATGAGAGGGCTAGGGGAGTGTTTCCTTTAGCACTGAGAAGTGGACTGCAGGAGAGCCCACCAGGCAGAAGCTGTAGCTATGGATGAATATAACCACTGCTGGAATCTAAACAAGGAGGGAGGCAAGCTATGGAGAAAAATACCCTCAATTTTTTCTCCTCTGCCTTCAGATATTCAGCAGGTGCCTCCCTCTAGCCAAACCCGACCAGAACTCAGAGAGCATGGGAGCCCTTATGATGCAGTCTATGGCATCAGCCCCCTGGAAGGTACAGCAAGGCAAAGAAGGTCTCCAAGGAAGCAAAGGAGCATAGCCAGCACCGTCAGCCTGGTCATTTTGGCTGTAATAGCATCAAACACAAACAAACTGGTTTAAGATGAAGGAAGTGTTTGGCTCACATGGACTGGTAGTCCAGAGGGAAGGTACTCTGCACCCTTGGTTGAGCCAGAGACTCCCACGGAGTGAAACATTATCCTCTCTTTCTGCTCACTGTCTGAAGAGGTGGCTTCATTCTCAGCTAGTTCCTCTTAAGTCATAGCATAGGCCATTAGCAATCAGGGCCTCTTGCTTCCTTGTTCACATCCAGCAAGAGAGAGGCAGTGACTTTCCATAGCTCTCCCAGCAGCACAAAGAATCTCCTTTCCCAGAAACTCACAGCAGATTAATGGGGTATAGTAATTGAAAACAAAAATGCTGGCTCTAGATTTTTTTTTTATGATTGCATAGTACATTTCTTTTAAATGGCTTGCTTTTTTTTCTCTCTCTCTTTTTTCTACAGTCTATAAAGATACCCCAGGCTGCTGGCAAGCTACAAAATGCCTTGCTCATTTGAAAAAGGACAGAATGTGTCTCAGGAAAACAGCTAGCACAATGGATTTTAAATAATGTATTTACCTTTTGTTTGTAACAGTTTGTGTTATTTACTATTATTTTTATAATAATAATAACGATGAATTTTACAATTGATTGGTAATTGGGAAGAAAGCACCTATTTAAGAAGGAAAATTTTAATAAACTTCTACTTAAGTTTTGTCACCAGGATTACTAGTCAAATAAAAAAGAAAAGTAGGAAGGAGTTTAGATCTAAGAAATTGAATTAACAATAAAGCTACCATTTAGCCAATACTTACCATGTGCTAAGAGTTTGAAATATATTATTTCCTTTAATCTTTTCAAGAACCTATGTCTACTGTGGTCCTCATTTTCTATATATGGAGACAGGCCCAAAGAAGTTAAATAATCTAACCCAGGGAGCTGAAACTGAAACCAAGATTTCCCCAAATTCAAAGGTTATGCTATTAACCATCATTTTTGTTCATCTGAGTTGGTATAGCCTAACTCACTAATATAACCCAAGACTTTCTACTGAACCGTGTGTGTTTTGCTGTGACTCTGAGATGCTGGGTCCGTTTTTCTGCAGAAACTTAGAATGCAGAGTCCTAAGTATATGCTACTGTTACCACCATGCTTTATGAGAAATTGACTTTTATTGTGTTTCTTTGCTCCTTTACAAATGATCAGTGACATGAATAAATTCTTACATTAGTAAAGCAAACAGATTTGCCCCCTAGCTAGGGTAATGAATAGAGATGCGGAAAGTAAATGCCTGATAGTTTTGAAGCCCCAGGTAAGTGTTTATGCACACTAACATATCAATAATAGCACTAGAAGAGTAATGGTAAGTGACCGCGTAGAGGAGCCAGGTGGAGACTGGATGTGATGATATCCTCATTTCTGTTCTAATAAGCAGTACCTGCGATTGCTCTTAGGTGAATATCATTGCAATGAAATTATGAACATACATCTATTACTTAGGACTATCTTGCCAAATGCCCTTTTAACTCCATAGTATATTTAATAAGGACTTTTTAAAAATGGAAAAATAAAGTCTACATTTTATTCCATAGAATGTGGAACTTTCTACATTGACCGGGTGGATCTTTTACAAACAGATGAAGGATGTCCCCACATTGCTGAACTTTGGTTGTTTTGCCTGTCAGCCAAGCAGCTTCTTTTTCAGAATCTTTGTAAATTTTACTTTTTGGTGTGAACTTCATACGCAAAATGAAGGGGAGAATTCAGACAAAAGGTGAAGAAGTTGTGTATCATTTTCTATCACACATCTTTTTAGAGAGACTGGGGCTGTACTTCTGTATAACACAGATACAGCTCCCACATCAATGAGATAATTTGATAATTTTCTAAATCTATTTTTTTCACCTGACTTAACAGCTGTCTTTGAGACAGGATTATATACAATTGATTCATATTGTATATGTTTTATTTTATAGTCTCCTTCTAGACTCATTTCATGCCCTTTCTCTTTCTCAGTCTTCTTTGATACTAGGAGGGCTTGAAACAAATGCTTGTTTGAGCATTTTAAAATATTTATTAAAAAAAAAAACAACAACATGTTTCTTCTTTCCTGAACATCATGATTTTGGTTGATCAATGGACTCTCAAGAAAATTCAGGCTATGGAATCGTGTTTTGATCCTAAAATGTTAATGATGTCTCTTGAAATTTGGTAGGTCTAATGTCAAGAAAGAACTTCAAGGATTTTCATGTCTTTTCAAAATGTACTTTATAATTGTTTTGCATATACTAAATGACCTTGTTTATATAAACTGTCAATTTTATTATAATAAAATAAATTTATTTTTAAAGTAAAGCAAACATATATATTTGAGGGTTTTCTATTGGTACCATGAATTATTAATAGAAATAAAATTTAACATTAGTGCTTTGAAAAACTTTATATTTTATAGAAACTACCATTAATGCATTTGAAACAGTCCATTTTGGCCAGATGTTTTCCTTAGAAACTAAAGAATTTGAAAGTGTGGTGGACGCTTATGGGATTGTCTGCCCAGCAACCTGGCCATATTGTTGAGCCCCATCTCCAGCTGCATTTGATTGGTTTAAGGAGAGGGTTTAATGAAGTTTGGCCAACCGGAGTCGTTTCCAGGAGAACTGGGAACTTGAACTGAAGTTATTTTTCTTTGGATTATTGGGGTATAAAAAAGTGCATTTTGAAGCTTTTGGCAGTCATGTTTTTACCCACATAGATCAGAAAAGCAAAGGAAGCTGGTCAGAGAGGACACAGACATGAGCCTCATTTACTGACAGTCTGAGTCCCTGGAACATGTAGTCTCAAAGTTTAGCTTCATTCTGTTTCTGTCTATGGGCTCTATGAGACATGTTTATTGTCGTTATAATAAATTTCTCATTTGGCTTAAGCTAATTCTATTTGGATTTCTGTAATCTAGAACCAAGATTCTAATTCCAGTACATCATGAAATTGTGGGCAATTGTTTCTTAAAGCAGTCCTCTATGAAATGGAATATCAAATACAGTTTTCACATAGTGACTTCGATTGTATTAGAGGAACATTTCTAGCAAGAATATTCTATTTGCACATTCAGCTACTCAAGATGATGATTGCAAAGAAAGCATGGGAGGGAGCAGGGAGTTCAGCAAGCACTGATTGGGTACCTACTGTATTCTAGGCACTGTAATACCCACTATGACAAATGCTAAGGAGAATTAAGACATGGTCACTTAAGAAGCAGACAGTCTAGTGGAAGAACCAGCTACTAACTAATCATTTCAATTCAGTTTGGAGCTCTGAGAGAGGCTGAAGGTATTATGGGATCAGAGAGGAGGATGACTAAGCCAGCTTGGAAAAAATCAGGGAAGACTCCTGAAGGAAATTATATCTGAACTGGACTGCTCTCAGAAATAAAGGTCTCTGCCCCAAATTGTGGGTATGGGCAGATATTTCTTGGATTCTTGTTAAATTATACAGAATTTCTCTTAAATTCTAGCAGTATGGGGAGCAGCAGACATTGTTACAAGAAAATAAAAAAAGAAATCAAGGCTTCATACCTATTCCAGTATGCCTCGGCATGACAGGATAAAGTATACAGGCATGTTAGCTGTGAGGTGAGATGTTCCTGGTCCCAACAATGTTACAGTATTTGGTGATGGGATGAGATAAGGGAGAGCTTTTTATTTCTTTCCTAAAGTGAATTATTCCAGCTGTTCACACTTTCCACTTCATATTGTTTTTCTTGATTAGGCAAGTTACATATAGAATGGAGTGAAATGTTCTGGGTCATATACTTGCTATTCGGATAAGGCCATGGTTTGTGTGAAATTCTGTGAAGGAAGTTCAGGACATATTTCAGTGCCCATGACTATAAGACCAAGCTGTTGCCTTAATGAGACCTCCATTTTTGTATAATCTGCTTCTACTTTGTTATGAATTCATTAAAAGATATTTACTAAGTACCTACTAAGTACCAAGTACTTTAGGTGCTTGGGCTATATCAATGGACAAAATACTTAAAATCTGTCACCTCTTTGATTGACATGGATGGATAGAATGCTTATATTCTAGTGGATATAATCTTTCATGAATGGAATTTAAAACAAAGATTATCCATGAAGTTATGTTATCCAGGTCAAACCTTTAATCTATCCTACTGTCTTGGAAAACAGAACTCAAGATGGGTACTCACAGAAGAACTGATTATATGGTAGGATCGGCAGATTTCCCTTGACCTCACATAATTCAAGAGCAAAAGAAATTTAACTATGTTTCTTTGGTGTAAAGATCTTGGTTTATACAATCTTTTTTTCTGTAGTTGATGACTATAGGTGCTGCATTTGGGCATTTGTTCTTCTTCAGAGAATCCTCCATGTGTCAAAGCATTTTTCTGCAAAGGAATCTGTTCCCATGTGATCATCTATGGCAGCTGTGCATTAATGCTGGAACATAACGTGCAAATTCTTGTCTGTTTGTGAATGTTACTGTTCCTGAGAATGTGTTTCTTATAATAACATCTAGTTGGCACTTCTGTAAACTCATTCTTCCCCAGGACCTGTCAGCTATTGGTGTTTGAAATAGTCTGAAATTCTATATTAGGAAACTAGATAAACTATATAACTCCAAACTATATCAGCAATTATATTCAAGAGATAAATTATTAGGAACATTTCTGCTATTGAAATTTCAAAATGAATATCTAGGTATGCTTAACTACAATTACAATCAGTTGTGTATTATTAAAAAAAAATGCTAACCAAATGTGTTATTAAAAACTTTTTCCTCCATGTTTTATTATTCTTACTCAAATTTAAGTTACAAATAAATAAGTAAATGTGCAACAGAGGTACTTTAAAAGGTGTTTTCTGGTTTTCTTCTTTATTTTGTTTAAAAGAAGTCAAACAAACAAAATTCTGCACAAATACAGGCCTCCTTAATATTCGTTTTCAAGTGTAGTTATTCTTGTAATATATGTGCAGAATAAAAAATAATATTTTGAAACTTTGTGATCCAGACTAGAAAACACTTTGTCATATGCTGGAGTTTAGTAAGAAATGAGAGAGAACCTTTAACTGACTTGCTTTGTAAAACAATTTTGAAATACTGCAATGTGTAAACTAATTTTAATAAAACTATTTTTAGCATATTCTTTTTTTAATATCCTAGGACATTCTTTTTTTAACACCCTAGCAACATTTGTTTACTCAAATCCAGACTAGAAAACACTTTGTCATATGCTGGAGTTTAGTAAGAAATGAGAGAGAACCTTTAACTGACTTGCTTTGTAAAACAATTTTGAAATACTGCAATGTGTAAACTAATTTTAATAAAACTATTTTTAGCATATTCTTTTTTTAATATCCTAGGACATTCTTTTTTTAACACCCTAGGAACATTTGTTTACTCAATGAACCAGAACTAGCAATTCCAAAAAAAAAAAAAAAAACCGCTTACACAGTATGTTTTGTTTGGTGGTTGGTTTTATTACAAAGTTAATCTAGTCTTGTGGACTGTACTGCCACCTCTGTGCTGCTTAGTTCCAGCTGCATATCAAAATATCTGGACTCAACCACACCAGTGTTCTTGGTCATTCTATAAATGGCGTAGAGATTGGGAGAAACTTGCTTCGGAACGACTGTAATGCAAAGGCTATAAGCACAGGATCTTTATTCAAACAGATTTGAGCTTCAATCCCAGGTCTGTCACTTACTGTAAAGCCTTGGGCAATTTCTTAACCCTTCTACTGTTCTCATCAACAAGGTGAAAATAAACAATAAATGGGGGAGGGGAGGAGCTGAGTGGATCAGATGAGATAATGCCACCATAATGCTTAGCCCGCCCCTGAAGTATTTTAAGCACTCTCTAGATAAGGGGTCAAGTAATGTTAATTATTGTTAGATCAATAACAAGAGCGATGACAGTGATGACAGCATGATGTTCTCTAACCGGTCTTATGGAAAACAAGACATTCATTTCTAAGTTAAGTCGCTACGCTCATACAGTTAAGTTTTCTGTATTTTTAAGAATTCATGACCCCTGTGAAAAGAATGTCTTTCTCCTCTTGTTTGAACAAGCTATGGTTAGGTGAAGAACTCTGACTCGATGAAGGGCCCTATAAAGTGGCTTTATTCTTCTCTCTCTATTCTTCCTCTCTCCCTTCCCTACGCCTTCCTTGAAGGTACCTAATGAAACAAAATTAAGGAAGAATTATTACAATGTTATTGAAAATAATCAAAGGCCTAATCATTTTAAAATTATACTGAGATAAGTTAGCTATTTTTGGAGGTGGAGTTGGACTTTACTACTTGTACATCTAACGTCATTAGTTGTATTAAAAATAGAACAGGCCAGAAACAGGAAATAACCTCTCATATTTGTTATTCACATGTGCTTGCACAGTAAGCATTATTATACCCATTTACTCGATAAATCTAAGCCTCAGGAAGCTTAAGTACGCAGCCAAATCAGATTACTAAGATCAGCAGATTTAAATTATTGTCATCTGCTTATTAATTTTGGTATCTCAGACTTTGAAATAAAAGTACACTGAAATTATCCACTTTCCAAATGAAAAAGAAACATAAATGTGTTTTTCTGGAATCTGTTAATTGGCTAAATAAATGATTACTAAGTCTATGTGGTTGAAAAATCCTTGAGACATTTTAAAAAGTGAAAAACTGAACAGGAAAAAAATTAAGATGATTTGGTAGTAACTAGTTGGTATGTTTTTTGTTTGCTTGTTTGTGTTTAAAAATCATACTGAGCCAGATTTAACAGGCTTAGCTATTTTTTATTCTTAAGTTAAAATACCTGAAAATAAGAGAAAAGGACATTGAATAAAACACACATAGAGTGAGCAACAATGCATAAACACTAACTCAAGATAGGCATATCACGCTCTTATTGGAGAGTACTTAATTCGGTGGCACTAAAATAATCTTTCGAACCACAGAGGATATGAAGAGCTCAACAGCCTGGAAACTA